AAGTGCATAGCAACTTTGAAATCCTTCCTGCTACATATGTCTCGACTAACCAGAGCCACATCAAGTATATTGATTTAATTGTCGGCAGTAGTGAGGGCCAACCAGGTTTCTGTTAGGATAGATATTTCGACATCCAGATAAGATTACAGGCTTCTGAGTTCCGCAGTTTTTCCTCTCAGCTTCTTACATTGTGTTTAAATGCAATGACAACCCAAAAAAATTTTCGGGTACATGAAATTCAAAAATAAAACGTCCAACGGTGTCCCGAACCTGACTCTTAACAATGACGCAATCGGAGATCAAAAAAAAGCAGAAGCAATTTTCCTATTACAGCTTCATTCTACCCCGTTTTTTCGGTACAGGTATGGAATTTTCAGTATGTGATATCGGTAGCCCAAATTTTGCAGGCCGACCAATTGATATCAGGTGTGCATCGGCAAAGGGGCGAACCCCGTTCCATTTTCACGGTCGGAGAGTATCCTGACCACTGTGCCACCGACAAAGACTACTTCTCCTAAATCTTTACACAGGAATCATCACTGCCTATTGGGTCAGCTCTAGCTTCATCAGAGGAAAACGGGACAGGCTCCGATGACGTCAACCAAGACATCATAGTCAACTGCCTAATGAAACTAAGTGGAAGGAAATCAATGGGTCATGATAATCTTCATCCAAGGCTTCTCAAGGAGCTATCGGCTCACATAGCCGGCCCACTGACCACGATCTTCAAGCTATCTCTCCCAAATGGAGTGTTACCTCATCACTGGAAAGACGCCATAGTAACCCCCATCCACAATGGAAGATTAAGACAAAGCCTTTCAAACTATAGGCCTGTTGGTCTTATCAGCACCTTAGTCGAGACACTGGAAAGAATCATCAAGAAAGGTATCATGACGTGTCTGGAAATCAACATTTTGTTATCCAGGGCACAACATGGCTACCGAGGGACTTTCTTATGCCTGTCAAATCTCCTAACTGCAAGAGAAAGCCGGATCAAATCAAGGGACAACAGAAGACCCGTTGATGTCGTCTTTATAGACTTCGATAAAGTTCCTCACAAAAGATTACTTACGAAGCTGGAAAGTTCTTATATTAAAGGCAAGCTACTAAACCGAGTCAGTAAATTCCTTATAGATAGGAGGCAGAGGGTTAGGATTAACCCGAAACTCTCTCCATGGACAGCAGTGAGTAGCGGAGTGCCACAAGACACGATACTCGGACCTCTCCTATATATTTTGTATATCAGTGAGTTAACTGTGTTCACGGATTCCTTAGTGGTTCTATACTGAGATGACTTGAAAATCTGGAGAGAGTTGAAGGGTGGCAGTGATACGCTTACGTTGCGAGAAGACATCAACAAATTATCAGCATCAGTTCCTACGAGCTAGACGGAATAAATCTCCCATCAGTTCAGACTTATCTGGATTTGGGTGTCATGGTGGGTTACGACTTGAAAACTGCAGCACATTGTCGCGCGGTAGCTGCACGTAGTTTCAGGTCCTTATGATCAATTCGCAGAGCCTTTGCTGGAATCACCAGAGATGTGTTCACCTCCTTATATACATCTCTGGTGGGATCGAGACTGGAAAACTGTATCCAGGCGGCCAGAGGAGATTTAATTATATTGCTGAAAATATGTGCAATTACTATTGACCTAATCTATTCTATCTTTTCCTTCACACTAGGTCGGAACACCTTATAGGACATAGCAGGAGAGTTAAAAAGCCAAGAAGAAATCATATTGCCAAATGAGTACTGGTTCTCACACCGAGTCGTAAACTCTTGGAACCGACTCCTAAAAGAAGTGGTGTCTGCAACCTCAACTGATTCATTCAAGAAGGGTTTGGACAACCACAGAAATTTATTAGAAAAGGATCAACATAGGCTCCAAGCCTTCTATCCTTAACCAATAAATCTGAAAATATTGTCATAGCTGGTGACTTCAATGCCTCATCTCTTAACTTGGTGTCAGGAAACGCCCGTGATAGATTTGATCGAAATCTGCTGCATACCATAGAGAAGGCTGGATTCACTGAAAATGTCAGGATGGATACTAGATGGGGCCCTGATGGGAAGTCTTCTAGACTGGATTACGTGCTCACCAGTGACCAGCTACTAGTGGAAAATGTTCAGATCACGACTCCTATAGGTAGTGGTGACCACGTGGTCATAGTATTCGACATAGTCCTCCGCGAGCGCTTACAGTGGGACAATACACAACCCTATCTGTGTTATAACAAAGACAGTTACACCAAAATGCGAAGACTTCTGTCTGAAGTAAATCGGCCTACAAAATGGACTGAGCTAACAGTATAAGAACACTGGAGAGTGGTAAAGGAGATCATTCACCAGGCGGTCTCAGACACTGTTCCTTTAGTCACACCAAAAGCTAGGAAGCAACGTTCATGGCCAAAAATGTGGACACAACGCCTTCTGCAGGTGACGCGAAAAGCCTGGTTTGCGTGGCGACGATCGAAGAGTCAACACGAACATGAAGTATACCATGAACTCAGGAATCGCTGTAACATACTAGTCCACAGCGATAGAAGGACATTTCAGGGAAACCTCACCAATAAGCTTCTCGTGAACCCCAAAAGCCTATACAGGTTTATATCTGAAAGAAAACCGACCAACCAGGGAGCATGCAATCTAGTGGGTTCTGATGGGATGTCTCTTACTAGTCTTGAAATGGCAGAGGCATTCATCCTAGCCTTCCACAGGCAACTAAACAGTAACGAGGATATTACCCCCACGGAACATCAAGATTACATTGCAAAACCAACGCGCGTAAACCTGCTGGTTGCATTTCGAATTACCCCGGCTATGGTACTTGTAAAATCGGGAAAGTTGGCTTCGGGAAAGTCTTCAGGTTGTGATGACATCAGACCATCTGTCCTGAAGCAGTGTTCAGAAAGTCTCTACCAACCCCTAAGTGATCTGTTCCAACACTGCCTTGATGTAGGGAATCTTCCATGTGTATGGAAACGAGGAATCCTATCCCCTATCTTCAAGGGTGGTGACCGGCACAATGCGACCAGTGACAGACCAGTTTCTCTACTTCCAGTGATATCGAAAATATTGGAAAGTCTCATTGACGACCAGATAAGAAAATACTTCGACCACGAAGCACAGCACGGTTAAGGAGGGGAAGATCCTGCGTGACGAATCTTCTACTAGCTTGGAACGATTGGACTGTGCGTCGGTGGCACAGTGGTTAGGACTCTCGCTGCCCATGCACATGGTCCGGGGTTCGAGCCCACGCCGACGCACACCTGATATCTATGGTCGGCCTGCGAAATTTGGGCTACCGATATCCATGCTGAAAATTCCATACTTGTACCAAAAATACAGTGTGGAATCAAGCTGTAATCAAAAATAAAAAATGAATAAATAAAAATAAAATAATAAAACTATCCTGAGACGAAAAGGTATCAGCCCACGTGATCTTTCTCGACTTTGCGAAAGCATTCAACACAGATCACCATGGTCTGCTCCTTCACAAAATAAGCAAGGCCGGTGTTTCTGGAGCACTTCTCGCATGGCTGGAAGATTACTTAGGCGAGAGAGAATTCTGAACCAAAGTCAACCTCATCCGACCATCCTGGCAAACCTCGTCATCAGGGGTTCCTCAGGGTTCTTTCCTAAGGCCGTTGATGTTTTTGATTTTTATCAACGACCTGCCCTCTCAACTAAACCGCTCTGCACTTCTTTACGCTGAAGACGTAAAGATTTGGAGAGCAATAAACTCATCGGAAGACAGATAGATTGCAGGCTGACCTGCAAACTCTGGGAGACTGGGCTCTGGCTAACGGAATGCCTTTCAACCTAAAGAAGTGCAAAGTAGTGCAACTTCATTCCGGCAGGTCACAGAGTGTAAATTACACCCTTGGTGGCCAGGACTTGAGTTGTGTTCAATCAGAGCGCGATCTAGGTCTTATTCTAACAGAAAAGCCAGACACCAGTGGAAATTATGCGAGGGGCGTCGCCAAAGCCTACGCAACTTTACACCTTATGCATAGGCAGCTGGGAGCTCTCACTCCCGAACTGTTCTTAAGGCTATACAAGGCATATGTGAGGCCACACCTTGAGGTGCATAATATCATTGCACCTCCGCTACTCAAAAGGGATGCTAACATTCTAGAAAATGTCCAGAGACGAGCGACAAAATGGGTGATCGGCCTCCGCAACAAATCATACGAGGAACGACTAAAGAAATGAGGTCTTTTCACACTTAGTTACCGTAGGCACAGGGGAGACCTCATCACCGTCTACCAAATCCTAAATGACCAGGCCCACCCAAATAAAAGCATCCTGCCATTAAGTGATTATAGGCTTCCACGAGGTAACCCACTAAGGATAGCACACCAGAGACCAAAGACTCGAGTGCGATCACATTTCTTTTCGCTTCGTGTTTGCCGTCTCTGGAACGCTTTACCGGCGGCCGTGACTACAACGCCATCTGTGGAGATTTTTAAGCGGAAGCTAGACAATCATGCAGAAATGCAAGCTTTGTGTCTCAATGGCTTATCCTCATAAAAATTAAAACCACACTGTCAATGGATAAGCGTATGAACTAAATCCCCACGACCTGTTCTGCCTTCTCTCACTGTATCGACTACTCTATCTTTTCCTTAGGTCACCTTTATTATTTCACTTATTTCAACCCATATTATCTACACTACGACCTATTATTATTACTGTTCTGCTTTTATGAATACACCGAATGACCAACGGGAGTTAGGTTAAACTCCATTCACAGCAACAACACAGTCCTAACATACTGCATACTAAAAACCACATCTTGAGCAATCCCCGCACCACTCCTCTTGAAGTCTACCAGGGCTAGAGCAGTCGAGTGGCGGGCTTACTACGCAGAAGCTCACCGAAGATCTGAAACCTCTACCTCACAATCAAGAAGCGAGCTCAAAGAAATCACTGGTTTATACTAGCTCGTAATCAAGATATTGGATATTGGAATATTGAACATATTGTTATGACAACACCTCTTTTGCACTTTTGATTATCAGGTTTGTCACATCTGATACTTTTATAAGTTATTCAATCACGCTATACCGGATTTTCCCAGTTTAAGCTGATTTACAACTTTCTGCATCTAAAACATCTTATAAAACAGGGACTTGCGGAAACTTTTATCAATAAGGGCACCATGAATTTTTAATTATAATTGAGGGTATATATGTTTATTGTCTTGTAATACTCACAGAACTGAAAGTAAAATGCCTAAGCACTCTGAATTATTCAAAATGAACCTAGAACCGTTTGAAGCTGTCCAGACATTTCAAATAATATTTTTGCGTCTGGGTTCGAACCCAAGATTATTTTCGTGCTGAATTAAATCTCACTAATTCTGAGATAATTCTAACATTCTATAGTGATTTAATTGTGAATATGTTCTGAAATGCAAAGACTAGGACTCAGTGCTGGTTTTTAGCATGACTGACACTAATTCATCACCGTGTTCTTTTTCTAAACATTTTCAGAAGTAGGTCAGAACCGGGTTTGCTTATCAGCATTGTTCCAGCCCTCACAGAATATATTAGGCACAGACTATCGTTATTTCAGAGCGAAAACACTTAATTCACCCCCCAGCTCTCTTTTTAAGCACGACCAACGTTATTTCAGAACATAGTGGGTAGATAAAATCTTGATTTACCATAAAAAGGTATTATCGAAGAATAGGTTAGAATGAGTTTAGAATTGTTGCAAGCTTAGGAAATTCCGACGCATTTAGTAAACTTTTCGGATAATTTTGGAGGAGGAGATTCCGATATTCTGGTGTGTTTCTTCAAAACACTTCACACCGATCTACCTCGTCATATTAATCTATAAGCATGAACGTTGGTTTACTGCTGTTACGAATGTAACGGTTTATAGATTACTAATGATTGTATGTATAAAGCTTTGATAACCATTGCTACTTGCTGTACAATGCAGACTTAGACTTGCCCTGAGTGTATGAAAGGAAAGTGCAGAAAATGCGTGCTGCCGTAACAAATCCCACTGATTCATAATTCGATACCTTGAAGTAACCTAATCTTCTATGATTTCTGTGGTGACAATGTTCCACTAGCGCTAATTTTCTGTCCTTCATACCTCGGAAAGTCCTCAACTTTGTCTCTTGCTATTACATTGATTGTGTGACTACTTAACATTGCTGAAAGACTTCCGTGATAAGTATTAACAAAAACATTGTTCAAGTGGACAATTGGAGGCTCCACAGGAATACTAGCATCACCTCTGTTCTTCCAAATTTCTCTAAGGGTGGGTTGTGCAAGCAAGAACGACAGGCCTATAATGCTTTCATACAAATTCTATTTGTATACTTTGTATATTGATGTTGTGAAAACACTCATATCGTCTGCTATCAAAATGGTTTTCACTGTGAAACAATTTAAAAGGACTTTAATTTATGCATGGCTTACCCTGTCAGATTTCATCAAGGTGTGCATAAACATGGTATTCGGAATTGTAACCCTGATTAATTGTTATATCCGCTGGTAGGTTGTCATTTTTGAATGTAACGCTGTTGAAGGTGTTAAATACTAAATAGTCAACTATATAAGGATACATTTTGTGTCTTTTGTTTGTGAGTAAGCTGTACAAGAGATACACTGGTGCTTGTGCATTGCTAAAGAAAGCACTCTCACTCAGAACAGTATTGAATCAAATGACAGGGACATGAAAGATAAGTGATGAAAGGCAGAGATTATTTAAGCAAATTTGACGAGAACAACGCAAGAAATAAAGAAGGGATAAACTAAGTAATCTAAATTATCAATCGATATTATCCGAACCTTTGTTTCATTCATCCATAAAGTTTCTGAAGAGGACAGGTTTAAAATGTTAAGGCCAAGTAAGAACTCAATTACAAACTGGATGATATCAGTGATAAAAGAAAGTAATGATGTGAATACATTTCCTCCTTCTTCGTCATCATAATCCATAACGATTTATTCACATGTTCTACAGTAATTAATCTAAATACACTTGACGTATTCAGTATATTTCAAACCGTATGTCAGATGCTTTCTCACCTTTCAACTATTATTTGTGTAGATTTCATTAAGTAGACTTGTGATATAGTCATTGTGAAATATCCACTGTCAAGCACATTAAGAAGCACAGCCTAGTGAATATCAGTAACATGATTTGCTGAACGACTGTAGATCAAGTGAAGAATGGTGGCTGTTTCTTTCAAGTTTAAAGATTGTCACCTCTGCCCATCGATGATATTTCAGGTGAAATCCAAGCTAGCGTTGTTCTTGTCTTGAGTCATTTTACGATGTTGTGAAACTATGATTCAGTATAATCAGTGAAGATCTGTTCTTACACTCAACTCTGTGGACCTAATCAAAACTTCAAGAATTTTATTTTGCAGCTAGTTCCTCGTGAACTCTTTTATTCTATATAACCCAAGTCTATGCGTCGGTAGTGAGACGGTAGAACGATCGCCAACTACGCACACGGCCTAGGGTTCAGTCGGTGGCCGAAGCACCCCTAGACCTCGCTTAGGTGGTAGCATGCTTGTCAAAGAGGGGAGGTTGGGAGTGAGACAAATAACACCACCCCGAGAAAATGAAATCACTGCTACTAAAACTTTAAAGCTTAAACTTGAAGCCCTGCGTTTCACTGGGAAGGCAATGGAATGAAAAAATAATGACAAATGGAGTCCCAAAAATCCAATCTTCACTCTTTGGTTGATTTTAAATTCATACAACTCCTTGATCTCATTTGCAAGAAAGAATCTTATTTAATGATTTGGAACTTTAGATTGTTTCTCTTGAAATAATTAGGATACGCGTTACGCATAGCAGCCTATGACCTTCTACGTTGACTGATACCAGCTGACGTACAACTGGGCTGGGCAAGAAAAGGTGGTGGTCAAATCAAAAGTTGCCATCGATTCATGGAGTTTTTGACTGTCAGTTTTAGCCAAGCAGGGAGATGTACACCGTCTGACTGAGGTCTTAGAAACAATAAGAATCAGCAGCTGCCGACTGTTGGTGACATGGGTTGAAACCGTTCTCAAAAGTGTAGATACATGCGTTCTTTGTCATCTGCCGAATCTATAGCATGTTGATTATTCTCCATGTGGTGAATCTTCCACTCATCCATTGATATTTATTAAAGTATCTATGCATTTCTTTATTTACCCTACTTTTATGATGAATTGAACTGTTGCATATTTGTGCCAAAGTTCTGAGATGAATATTCGATTCTCCCATTCTATTGAGTATTGAAGCCATTCTGGCATTCTTTCTAACATAAATAAACTTCACTATAGTCAAACAGAAGACAGCGAAATCCTTTTCTCACTTTTTAAGAAGCAGCAATGAGTAGTTTCACAACTTTTTCTATAAAGAGATGCTTCTACTAATAAAAAACTTTATACCTCTTGCAGGAATCTTATTATTTATAGTTTTATTGCCTATAATTCAATGGCTTTATTATTTTTCTTCTCTTACTATGGTCATTCTCTGCTTCTCTTTGTTATAAAGTTAGTGGAATAAACCGAATATATCCTGGTTAGTTGTGAAGTTATTCCCTTAACCATTGATTTGAAATTAATCCAGCTGAAAAAGACGTTTAGCTGTCAATCTACTCCCTTTAGTTAGTCACTCCACTTTATTTCTTCTACTGGTATGGCTTAATTCGGTTATTTCAACATATTTTTCGTCCTGCTAAGTTCTGTCATTCTGGATTCATCGAAAAGTTTATGCTTTGATAATTTGGCTTCATTTTGTAGTATGTGCAAGGAATTTTAAATGATCGTTTGTATGATAAAGTGCATTTCAATGGGATATTTTAAGAACTGAACTTACTGAGAAGACTACGACAAGCCTTTCATACCTTTTTCTATCAAGTTGAGATCTTGTTTAAGTTATTATGAAACATCATACTTAAATCACTAGTGCCTAAATTATACTCATAAGTGGGTTCCTTAAAAATTCTTGTGGATGGAGACAATCGACAGAAAGCCCTAGATCAAGTTTCCATACTTCCTGGCATTTGTCAACCATTGCATTCATTCCCTTCCTACAAGAGTCCGTTTGTCAGCCCGTATTATTTAGTGGTTACGCTTCCGTCTGTTGATCGTAATGATGCAGATTTGGATTCCAAAAGGGATATGATTTCCTTGAACGTTTCAGAACTTGCACTACTGATGAATGTAAATAGTGATGAAAATGAAATTCAGGGACTCCTGCTGATTGCTTTCAGCTATCTAACATGAATTAAAAGTGCACAGTGTTGGTAAGTCACCTTGTTTGGTGACCGTATTACAAACTTGGCGTTCAGAACTACAAACTCACTCGTAGGCAAGCTCTGTAGGCTAAAGGACACCATCGGTTGACCCAACAATTAAACAAAATAATATAATTTCTAAAATAACTTTCAATGACTGTAAGTTAAGTCCACTACATAGGTCAAACCGGTAGATCAGGAGTAGCGAGATTATCACAACATAAGAATTCGGCTAAGGCTAGAATGTCTGATCCCACAAAGATAAGTAATTTAGAAAAAATCTCGGCGATATCACTGCATGCATTAACACACAACCACGCAATAGAGTGGGAGAGGGTTTAAATTCTAGGAAGCAATCTATGCAGGTGGAGAGCGAGAGAGATTGATTACTGAATCCTGCCTGGTTCATCGAGTCTACATCCAACACATGCAATAGAAATGACTCAATGCAAATACCCGAGATATGCATGGAAGATATTATTACCACCAGTGAGTCAAATCAGAGGAGGATAATATATAATCTCGAAAATCTATTTCAATTCCAACACATCATAACATTCTAACAAGCTGCTTATTTTGACCATAAGAGCACTCGTCTTATTTCCCATCTGATTGTACTTGATTCATAACGCTCATATTACTATTTCTGAATGTACATTATCCTATATTGGTTGATGTTTATTCAAATGTGTGAGTGACTTGATGTGATTATGAACAGTGATAAATTATGCTGGAAAAGTGGTCATCAGTAAATATTACTGTA